GGAACATCCCAGTGGACAGCAGGTAGTGCCCTGAGGACCAGCAGGACGGAGCCACTGCTCCCTGGCCTTCAGCTCAGCAACCTGTTGGTCAGGACAGCAAGCCACCACTGGCTGAGAGTCTCCCAGGCCAAAAGACACTGAGCCATGGGCACACGGGAAATGGACGCGAGGTTTCCAACATGTTGGAAAGAACAAGGTGTCATAAACAAAGAGGCAGTGGCTGGGCTGCCCCAGGGTAGGTGGCGACTGTTGCACTGAGTGCTCAGGGATGGGAAGGAACACAGTGCAGGTTGCTCCCTGCCCCACCCAACATGGTCACCGGGGTAATGCTAAGCCCCTGCTGGGCTGTGGCCTGGGGTCTGGGCTATGACTCTTCCCTGCCATGCTCCTTCCACCAGCGGCCAGGGCTTTCCTACTGGGGTCTTGAGGCAGCAGGAAGAGGGGTCTGCAGGGCTGGTTGCTAGATTCTGGGAGCATCCAGGGGTCTGAAAGCTGCTCGGCTGCTCTAGGGCTTTCCCTGTGGTGGGCGGGTGGGGTGCTAGGGCTGTCACCGTCTGCTGCAGCCTAGTAACTGTGGATGTTTTAAAAGTGGGGCACATGACAGGCTAGTTAAAACGCTGAGAGGTGGAGAGAAAGACCCGCATTCCAGGAGCGCCCCAGCGCCCTGTGCCTGCCTGGTGGGTGAGAAGCACAGAGCCCGGGGAGGAAGTTAACACCCCTGGGTCCTGGTGGACCTCTGGGCGCTCTTTGAATATGCTGGGCTTTAATCCTTTGACTTTTGTTTCTTTGCACTTTAAACAAAAAGGGCAAGGGAATATAATTTTTGACTTGAATTTTATCCTGGGAAATTTGAGGGCATTTCTATGTTGACTTTTTCTTGGGGTATCTGTCATTTTATATGTTTGTAGAACCTCTGAGCCAAATTCAGACTTTGAGGGTAGACCTAATTTAGGATGGGGAACGGTAAGGAGAGAATTCCTAGTTTGGGTCAAATGTGCCCTTGTAATTAAATAACACTGGGTGCTGATCCATTCCAAGGCCTAGGTGGGGGGGGGCCAAGGGGGAATGCATGGTATGGGGGTGGCCTCCCCTGAGGAGGCCCCGGGGAATAGTTGAAGCTGCCCCAGCAACTCTTTCACTCCCCATCCTCTAGCCCCCCTCAACTCTGCTCAGCAAGTGACAGCAATATCATTGACCCCTCAGTTTTGGAAAGACCTTGGGCAGGTTCAACTCAGCCTCTTTGGGTCCTCCCTTGGGATCTGGCCCACTTTGCCATGTGAGTGCTCAGTGAGTGGTGCCCTCTCTAATTTGGGGTGAAGCCGAGCCAGCTCCCCAGCTTGCAAAGGTCTCTCTCCATCAGCCCATCTGCCTAGTGAGCTCCTAGAAGGCTTCTGAAGGCCAGCGCTCCAGGGCAGCACCAGGTTGGGCCTCCTGGCCCTGTGGGCCTAAGCAAATGCTATCCAATTCGGCCCCCACCCTCCTTGGGCTCCCTGTCCCTCCTTTTTGTCTCCAGTGCTACAGTCAGCTGTGACATCACTGCCCTGACTTCCTCAGGCCTGTCCTCAGAAGCCCTGACACGCATCCTCTCTTCCAGAAATGAACCCCCAACTATCATGTCAGGTAACCTTTCATTTAAGGGCTCACTGTCTGTGTTGGAAGAGGCAGACTGTGTTCTGAAAGTGGAGGCTGCGGGAGCTAGCACCAGGCATCACCAGGCGTCACCAGCCTGTCCACACCACGAGTGCCTCTGGAGGCAGGCGGTGGCAGTTCTGATCCCGGGGCCTCGAGACTGAAGTGAACCTCAGGCTTTGCAATCTTCTGCTGAGTCTAACCCCTTGCTCATGCCTGCCCAGTGGGCCCCCAGGGCTGCCCTGTCACTGCCACTGCTGACCGTCCTCCTGCATGCATTCCTCCCCTGGGGGGCCCTTCTTCTGGTCCCTGGAGGGGCAGGCTGGGCTACCCCAGGCAGCAGGGCCTGGCAACTCCTCAGTCTTCCAGGCTCAGGCCCTGGGTACCCACCCATCGAGCACACAGTGTCCGACTCCTAAGCCAGTGCTCTCTCTGACAGCACCTGCTTTGATCAAGGTGCAGAGGATGGCTTGAGCGGGGCTCTTCCAGCTAAGGTAGGGTCAGCATTGAGTAAAGGCGGATCAATTCCCCAAACAGGCAAGGCCCAGGCCTGGGTCAGGGCCTCTGATCACACTTCCCCTTTGGCCAAAGGGAGGGTTCAGGAGGGGAGGGTTTCCTGTGTGAGTGGTCTTTCCCAATTTCCTAAGCAATTTCCCCCGACGTTACCTCGTGTTATCCTCACAACCACCCTGTGAGGTAGGTAGGAATTAGCAGCCCTGCATTAAAGGGGACACTGAGGCCCAGAGAGGTAAGGCAGGAGGCTTTCCTGAAGGTTACACACCAAGTGAACGGCAGCAGGGCCAATCTCCAGTGCAGAAGTGGGGAGAGAGCCAGGATGGTCGGAGCGGGGTGCCCACCTCCCCACTTCCAAGCTTTTTCTCTTTTCTTCCAATTCTTCTTCTTCTTCTTCTACACTTTCTCTCTCCCATTTCCCCTCCCCTGCTGACATGTATTTTTTTATGTGTATGGACGTCTTCTGCATGAGGTTTGAACAGCTCCTCGCAACCCTCTTATAGGACTGGCAGTGTCAAGGTGACACGACATGGAGCCCTGAGCCATGTGGGGTTCCCTAAGGCATGTCTAGGGTCCACATTGATTTTTATGGCCCCCACTCCACCCCCTTTCAAGAAAGTGCATCTGTGGCTCAAAGTGAATTCAGCTTGATGGTCTGAGCATGTGCAGGAGGCAGGGTGTGCTCACCAGGGAGGACCCTGCTCAGGACAGAGACCCTTGTCCTGCTCACAGGAGGGATTTTGTGGGGGCTGGGACTAGCACTGCTTTTGTCATGCACTTTTGGAAAATCTGCAGATGTAAGATATATTTACAAGTTGATTGAGGCCCCCTGTCTCTTTCCACTGCAAATTCCCTTTGTCACATCTGTCCTGTGGCGTGGCCGTGGCTGTTTTTGATGTGGCTAAGGCAGAAGATAAAATTAGGGGATCATTTTGTATGGGTTTAGTGGGATAGAGGTATGGGCTTTCAAATCGCTTCTGTGTCTACTTAAATTTCTATAGCTACCATGGTACGTAAAAGGCTTCCCGGGATACGCCCACTGCCAAAGATGGAATAGATTCTCTCTTCTTTCCATAGGAAATATTACAAAATCACTGTCACCCAAAAAGGTGATCAAAGAGTCTGTAGCCAAAAAATATGGGGAGGAGGGAGTATTTTAAAAGTGAAGGTATGTCCAGCAGTTTGTAAAACTGTCAGGATTTTTTTTCCTGGGATTTGTGATGTTTGTTGGCTTTTCAAAATGTATAATTTCTCCATCTAAATAATCACTTTACATATATAAATGAACTGCTTATCAGTGTTGTCAAGGGCCTGGTTTTCTGTTTGGCTTAGCTTTCCAACCAACTCTTCATTTGAGTCAATGGCCCCCGGCACTGGCTGGCCAGCCTCTCATCTACGAATGGGGTTGCAGATGTTCTCCACGGCTCTGTTCTCACAACATGCTATCTGCTGCCCTCTAGACCTGAACATCCCACTTAATGCAATTAAACTATAATGTGATCTAATAGCTTCCTTATCCCAAGCTTAGTGGTTCCTGCAGGAATCATCATCCTCAAGTCACACATGAAGAAACTGAGGCCAAGGCCAATGCTAAGGCTGAATGAGGTGACAATATTGAAGGTGACAAGTAACATGAGAGATAAGGTCAAGCAAGGCAATGGATGAGGTCAAGATAAGTGCTGTGTGCTTTGTTCCAAGGCCATTCCAGTTGGTGACAAAATAACTGTCTCTAACAGATTCCCAGCCAGGGCTCCTCCCCACAGCAGCTGCCTTACTCTGGAGCCAGAAATGCCTTGGTTTATATGGTTTCATTCACAGGCCGTCTTAGCTCTACTTAAGCAGGAAAGAGCTGAAATGACTTGCCCAAGATCACTCAGCTAGTAAGTGACAGACCCAGGTTTTAAATGCAGGTCCTGGCAGGGCCAGGGAGAATGAGGGCAGATAGATTGGCAGCTGTTCAAATTAATGCAGCCTTCCTGGCAAAGTGGCGAGTTTGGACAATGTGGCAGCAGCAAGAGGCCATAGCGGTTGCCCCCAGTCCCTTCTCTTGCCAGTGGTTCCCAAAGCCACTTGGACTGGGCTTTCTTGTACTTGCAGACCCCACAATCTTTAAAAGCACTTCTTAGCATCTCACTAGGTCTCTGTAACAACCCCAGGAGGGGACAGGGCAGCAATTATTTCACAGATGACAAAGCAGCCTCAAAACACTTTGGGAGCTCAGTAACTTCCCCACTGGGATGTTCCCCACAGGAGGTGTTCACCTCATGTCACGGCATGCAGAAGACCGTCAAGGTCCTTCCCGAGGGACATGGCCTTAAACTCCAAGGTGAACAAAGCATGAACATCGAGTTGGACATGGGGTGTCAAACCCAAGAAGTAGGTCCCATGTGAAGTCTACCTATTGACAAGGGTTACTAAGGGTGGGGGCCTTCTCTAGATGCCCTAGTCTTAATACTTAATCTCCCACACCCAGAAGCCCTGAAATGGGATTGGGGTATTCTTGGCTTAGCCAAAAACATAGGCTTTTTCTTTTTTGAAATCAGTGTCTTGCTCTCCCCTGGCTGGGCCTTCAGGGCATCCTCTCCCTCACTTCCCACTGGCATCGGTCCCTCTTTTCCTCCTTAACCTGAAGGGAAATCTCTCCCAAAGGTAAAAGGAGGTCTCAGCGTGGTTAAGAGGGAGCAGTGGGCTATAGTCAGCTTCCAGTCCGGTGTGAAAGCAACCTCCGAGGTCCATTCCTGCTCCAGAGCTGGGCTCTTGATTCAGGTCAAATAGCTTTTCTTCTACTACCCGGCCCTACGCCCAGCCCTCTTATGTCTTCTTTCCGCGCCCCAATCTTGTACATAAAAAATATTGACCTTTCAAAAACTAGTAGGGGTCATGAAGGCTGACGAGGCTGGGGCACCGGGCGGGCGTTGACCGAGCTGTGCCCGGCGGCCCCTGTCCCGCTTCTGTGCCCTCCACTCCCCGCTGCCTTCTCCGGGCCGCCCTCCGGGCCGCCGCACAGTCCTTGCCCCACACGGCGAGACTCCAGGCGCCCACGAAGGCCGGGATGTCGCCTGGCCCGCCGACCCCAGCCTTCTGCTCTCGCTCCGGAGCAATCTGGAGACCGGCCCTCCCCTTCCCGCCTCTCCGCTCCCACTCCCGGTAGGTTTCCCGCCCCTTCCCTCCAGCCCCCGAGGCCGCCTGGCAGCGGCCGGCGGCCTCAGAGGCCCAGGGCACAGTGGCCGCTGGTCACCGCCTCCTAACGGACCGGCGCGCGCCGGGCGCCAGTTGCCCGCACGACCAGTTGCCAGGGCAACCAGCCCACTACCCTCCCTCTAACCCCAGCATGCTCTGCGCGCGAAGCTGGGCGTGGCTGGCGAGCCCTCCCCGATCCCCAGCATGCTCCGCGTGCAGGGTGTGGCTCCAAGGGCTGGGGCGTGGCTCCAAGGGGGTTGGGGCGGAGCTCCAAGGGAGGACTGGGGCGTGGCTTCAGGGGTTGGGGCGTGGCTCCAAGGGTGGACTGGGCGTGGCTCCAAGGGCGGGGTGGGCGGGGCCGGGGCTGGTGTCATTTGAGGAGCGAGTCCTGCTGCCACCAGGCGCCTGTCTTTGTGAACTGGGAGCAGTGAAGGCTGTTAAAATGCTATGCCAAGTGACCGGCAGGAGACACGCACGCGTCCTAAAGAATTATCTCGCTTAATTTTTATTGTTGCCATGACCTTTTGTGGTGCCATGGCCATGGTGGGTTTGGTGTCTTGCCACAGCATAAGGAGTAACCTGCGAGTACTCCCGTATCCCCCGCTGGGATCAAACCGACGCGAACTCCCCAGGGTCTTCGGCTTCATCCTCTAGTGAGAAAACCATGCTCAGGAATCGGCCGTCTCCAGCTGTGTGTGTGTTTGCAACTCTTGTAGCTGGCTTGAGGGTTTGTGTTTCCGTCGGGCACTTTGACGGACAGGTCTCTGAGACGCTCCCAGGCAGGTGTGTGGGCTCAATTCACTCAGTTCTGCTTTGCGCGGGTTCCATTCTCTTCTAGTAGGCATTTAAGGCATTTCCATTTTTTTTCTGTTATTATGATTGTAGTAGCATATTGAACATATTTTGAGCATGCCAAGCTGATGGGTGTGGAATGATATTTTACGTCTCATTTCCCTGCTTTCAATGACTTTGAGCTTCTTTTTAGGTGATTATTGGCTACTCACTTTTCATGTTCTGTGAATTATCTGTTTATATTTTTTGCCTATTTTCTAATATTGTGGTGTTTTCTTACTGATTAGCAGTTCTCTTTTTTATTTTTTTTGAGACATAGTCTCACTTTGTTGCTCAGGCTAGAGTGAGTGCCGAGAGGTCAGCCTAGCTCACAGCAACCTCAAACTCCTGGGCTCAGGCGATCCTCCTGTCTCAGCTTCCGAGTAGCTGGGACTACAGGCATGCACCATCATGCCCAGCTAATTTTTTCTATATATATATTTTTAGTTGGTCAATTAGTTTCTTTCTATTTTTAGTAGAGACGGGGTTTCCCTCAGGCTGGCTTCGAACTCCTGAGCTCAAACCATCCATCCACCTTGGCCTCCCCAGTGCTAGGATTACAGGCGTGAGCCACCGCACCCGGCCTGATTGGCAGTTCTTTATAATTTTATGGATTCCAGTCTTTTACCAGCTCAGTGCATTCATGGCAAATATTTTCACCTAGTCTGCGGCTCACTTCTCTTCCTACCCCCAGTAGCATATCTTCTGAAGCACAGATATAAAGTTGCAATGCAGGCAACTGCCAATCCTTTCCTTTATGGACATTTTTGTGTCTTGCTTAAGAATTCAACCCTGGTCCCAAGGTCATAGAGATATTGCCCTGTATTTTTTACTGATCCCCCCCTCCACATTTAGGTCTTTAATCCACCTTTAGTCCACATGAAAAGTAATGCACGATATGAGATAGGGATCCAACTTTATCTGTATCACATGGGGGAATATGGTTTCAGTATCATTTATTTCACAGTCCAGTCTTTTCTCCACTGCTATATGACATATCATATTTGACTCTGCTGTTTCATTGGTACATCTTGTCTAATGCTGAACCTATACAAATAGTCTTCAATCAAGCTTTATATAAAAGCTTGATTTCTTTGACAATGAGTCTCACCACCTTAACCTTTGCCTTCAGAAGTATCTTGGCTTGCAGGGTATCGTTTTTGACAGAAAAAAAAAAAAAAAGAAGAAGAAGAAAGAAGAAGAAGAAAAAAAGAAGTATCTTGGCTACTCTGGACTGTAAATTTTAGAATTTGCTTATCCTCAATCCCAACCCAGAACCCACCATTCAAATTAAAAGTAGGATCAGGAAGTGGAGTTTTTAATTGACACTGGTGCAGCTTTCTCTACCGTCAACTCAGAGGGCTTGTCTTTACCTGTCATCTCTGGTTCTATTTAAGCTGTTGGAGTATCTGGACAGTCTGTTTCATTGCTCATTCCTCAGGTCACCTCAATATCCTTAGGCCCTCTTATTACTCATCTTACCTTTCTAGTTTCTGATTTCTCATCGGCAAATTTTTAAATAATTTTTTTTTAAAAAGATGAAATATCATTATATTGCCCAGACTGGAGTGCAATGGCTATTGACAGGTGCAATCATAGTGCACTCGAGTCCCAAACTTCTGGGCTCAAGTTATCCTCCCAAGTAGCTGGGACTAGAGGCATCAGCAAATCTTTTTGGTAGAGATTTGTTTTGTGAGTTTAATGCCATCATACAATATAATGAGAAAGATATTTTTATTTCTCTGTCCCTCAAACCAAACCTCAAATTTCCTACTCCCCCTAATGGAGAATCATCTCAATTTAAAATCCTGTGAAGAGGATGCAACCTTAAAATATGTTCCAATGAGTCTCTAGGCCTCGTATGCAAATATGGTTGGACTGCTACTGAGTGCAGAGCTCTTCCATGCACATTACCTGGAAAAGGAACGAATCTTTCCCATCAGTAGCCCAGTATCCCCTCTTTGAGATACAGAGTGATGAATTAAACCCATAACATACTCTCTTTTACGGCAGGGTGCTCCTGTCTTTACTTCCACACCCTCTAACCCCCAAACACCCTTTCTTGCCAGTAAAGAAAGAAGCAAAATTTGATTCAGATAGTGTTTTACTCCATTTATACTGTGTGAACAAAAGTTCTCTGAAAAGGAAATTGGAGAAAAGAGATTTTACTCCAGTGACCAGTTTGCAAATGGGAAACACAGCCATGGTGTAAAATGAAGGTGCATTCCAGAGAACAAAGGAAGGGTAGGGTTTTTTTGAGGGCAGGCAGTTGAAACAGGATCTTGCTTTGTCACCTAGGCTGGAGTGCAGTGCTGTGATCACAGCTCACTGCAACCTTGAATTCCTCACTCCTCCCAAGTACCTGAGACTACAGGAGTGCACCATGCCCAGCTAATTTTTTTTATTTCTGTAGAGAAGGATCTCACTATGTTGCCCAGGCTGGTCTCAAACTCCTGGCCTCAAGGTATCCTCCCACCTTGGCCTCCCAAAGTGCTGGGATTACAGATGTGAGCCACTGCACCTGGTTTGGGTTTTATAATGAAAACTCCTGGCCGGCATGGTGCCTCACACCTGTAATCCTAGCACTCTGGGAGGCCGAGGCGGGCGGATTGATCGAGGTCAAAAATTCAAAACCAGCCTGAGCAAGAGCGAGACCCCGTCTCTACTATAAATAGAAGAATTATGGCCAACTAAAAAATAATAGAAAAATTAGCCGGGCATGGTGGCGCATGGCTGTAGTCCAGCTACTCCGAGGCTGAGGCAGAAGATTGCTGAGCCCAGGAGTCTGAGGTTGCTATGAGCTAGGCTGACGCCACGGCATCCACTCTACCGCGCAAACAAGGTGAGACTCTGTCTTAAAAAAAAAAAAAAGAAAGAAAAAAAAGAACTCCTGCTGTGTGAACCAACAAGGGAGGTTCGATGTTGTCTGCTGCACAGATGGGCAGCTCTTTAGGGACAGCCAAGGGGGCGAGTAGACTGTTTGTAAGCACAGGCATGTTCTGGAGGAACTGTAATATGAACTTGTAATTCTAAAAGGTTACTTGAGCCTGTGATTTAGAGAGAAGATCTCTACCCAGCAATGGGAGAGCACACTCAGGCATGTACAGAAAGTTTTGTGTGAAGAAAGAATTTTCAATGCACAATTAGTGGCTGAAGAAAATTTTTGGAAGGATTTTTAGATGCCCTGGTTACCAGCACTGAATCTTAGTAAGCTTAGTCAATCTAAGCTTTAAATGAGTAGGTTGTTGCCAGTATCAATCAGGAAATCAATCATTTTTTACACTTTTATGGTTATCCTGAGCTCCTGGGGGAGATATTATATTACTGGCTGTTATTCCAAGATTTTGGGGAGGCCCTAGGGATCGATCATTTTATATTTTCTGTATTTAGCCCCAACAGTCTGTCAGTAGGTCCCCAATACTCCTTTGTCAGAACTTAGACCAATCTTTTTTTTTAATGACCCACCTCCTTGCTATGGGCATATTGGTCTTTGAGATTTTTATGTATTTTCTTTTTTCTTTCTTAATTTTTGGTAGAAGGGGTCTCACTCTTCCTCAGCTGGTTTGACTCCCTGACTCAAGTAATACCCTCCTGCCTCTGCCTCCCGAGAGTGCCAGGATTAAGGCATGAGCCACGTTCCCGCCCTATTAAGGGATTTTTTAAAATACTTTTTTCTCTGGGGGGCAGTGATCCTGTTGAGGAGACTCCCTAGAGTTTTTTGTCAGAACTGTTGTCAAAAGGCGTGCCTGTTTTATTTATATACCTTTTTTTTTCTAAGTCTGCTTACACTTTATAAAGAACTTATAATCCAATTTTTTTTTTTTTTTTGAGACAGAGTTGCGTTGTTGCCCAGGCTAGAGTGAGTGCCATGGCGTCAGCCTAGCTCCAGCCTCAAACTCCCTGGCGCTAAAGTGAACTCGCTGCCTCCAGCCTCCCGAGTAGCTGGACCTACAGGATCACCACCATGACCGGCTAATTTTTCTATAATTTATTGGTGGCTAATTTGTATTTCTATTTATAGTAGATGCGGTCTCGCTCTTGCTCAGAGCTGGTTTGAATTTTGACCTCGATCAACTTCGGCCGCATCCTCGGCTCAGAGTGCTAGGATTCCAGCGTGAGCCAACTGCACGGGCCTATAAACGAACTTATAAGCCATTATACAAATGAGAGTGGGCAAGCCTGAGCTACTGCTAACTTCTGTAATTGCTGGATATTAGGTAGTTTGGCCAATCAAGGTCTACATTAACTGAACCCTGAATTATCAGGCACTTCTGGATCTATATTGAGTGTAG